TATTAAGGCCTTGGTATCCTATACAAGGTGGTACTGTAGGCCTTTGTAATTCTTGGTGACCTTCCCGATCTTTATGGGCAGCTGCAGAACAAAAACATAGAGAGCGTGCAGCTGGGGACAGAGGTTGGAGGAGTCTGTGTGTGTCCACCAGTTGATGATCTTGGGGGGGGGGGGGGTGGTTCTTCTACCTCCCTGGAAATTCACAGCATGTACAAGTGAGAGGATAGTTTACAGGCTCTCTGTTTGAAAAAGAAACACCAAGAGTGTTAGTGGAAACCAACCTGTCTTTTCCCTCCCCTGTAATCTCTCCTGAGTGACTTAAATAACGTCTCTGCCCTATCATCTGTACAGGCTACCTCGCTTTGAAAGAGCTCAGATGACTCCTGCCGCTAGGTGACCAGTGAGACATTGTACCACATGGTCTCTGCTGGTAATGTGCAAGCCTCATAATCCAGACTGAGCATCAGCCCTGACAGAGAGAGTAGTAGGCTTTGATATCCCATCCACTTGCAAGGTGGAACTACTGTATACTACTAACAACAAACTTCTGAACCTTCTCGCGCCTTCTCATTACCCGCCAGGCTGCTCTCACAGGATAAGGGTTGCAGCAAAGCTGTAGACGCAGCAGCAAAGCTACACTCAAGGGCTGAGGACGAGACTGTGAACCACAGTAAGGTCAGGCAACCAAATAACAAAATCCATGTACCAAAGATAACTCAGACAAAACCAGAGAACAAGGCAGAGATCAAGTCCAGAATCAGTCTAAACAAAATCAAGAAAACCAGACAGACAAAACTACAGAACTGTACACAGACTACGCAGAGTAAGCTAGAATAAGTAACCATTGTGTGTTTAGCTTTGCTCTATCCCTTTAGGTAATTGTAAAACACCATGTATACTTTTTTTCAACAAACTGCAATGCTACCTTTGTTGAAATGCAAAAACATAAAAGAACTCGTGCATAAAAGAATGTGTGACAAAATGGCACATTTTCTGTGTAAAAGATAATTTCCAGCACTACATTGATCTTCTGAGGGGAGCTGTGAGCGTCTTTGGAAGAGAATCAGACGCTCGATCATAGAGCTAATGAAATACATGGGACCCTTGTCTCTGCTTTATTTCCCTGGAGGATATGTACTATCTATCTATCTATCTGTCTGTCTGTCTGTCGACATGTCTGTGAGGATTGTTATACATAATACACTCACACATACACACACACACACACACACACACACACACACAC